TTTCAGCCTAAAAAAAACTACCTCAATCCTCAAAAAAGACCTCTCCTTATTCGAACGGTCGGTTAACCATAGTGAATCCCAAACACTCACTGTTCCTCTCCAAAAATCACATATACGACCCCTCTCTGACTGGATTGTTCCAACAGGCGGTTGACCTTGGTTTGAGCTATTAGCTTGCTTTTACAGAGTTGTGATTTTAACTGATTTCAGCATATACTTTTGATGGAAGTGAGGTGAAAAACGTAAAAATGACTTCAAAACATTACTACAGCAGGTTAGTCAATCTTACTGCATCTATTAAACAGCGATGAAAAACCAAGCAAGAGTTCCTAATAAATCGGTCATTCCACTTGGATCCCTCACCGGAAGCGTTCTCTTTCGGAATGGAGCATGTGGTGGAAAATTGCACTACATATCGCTGAAGGAGGTCTCAAACCCTGGCACTGCATAGCTCGCCTCTACAAACGTTCTTTGATAAGGACTTCAGTGACTACTGAGAAAATTAATAGTACCTTGGAAATTTGAGAGAATGCATCAATCGCTTGCCGTTATCGTGCTCTAGCAGACAGTAATGCCTCCAGCGAATTCCAACTTTGTCAGCACTACGAGTATAGGTGAAATGCTAGGCGTGTGCTGCGGGATATCTACTTTCACGTCTCAGATCTTTGCCGATTCTCCACAATGTAGGACAGAACTTATTTTCTGCGTTTTCGACTGCCCTTTTCTTAATTGGTAGTCCACTCCGCATTTCTCTATTCATTATCGAGCGTGCTCATCCCACCAGCCAGGGTCAACAATGCGTTCGCCCTCTTCGAATGAGGGGGTATCGCGTTCGTGGTTGGCTTTGGAAAGGGGGAGGGTCGCATTCAGGGTTGAGTGGGATTAGTATGTTGATTAGCATTATGTTGGGCGAATGGTGAGGTGATTTAGGTAGGGGGGTGGATGTAATTGGGGTGCAGCGTCAGGTAGGATAGGCGGATGGAGAGGAACGTTTCACTGCTCTGATACACCCCCTTCCCACCCCGCTCGACGCTATTTTGGAGAGGAAGGGAAGTGGGCGGGGGAGTTGGGCTGTGTCGACTGGTCTCAGAATCAAATACTATAGAAACAGCCATGATGGCGAGGGTGGTGGTCGGGGTAGGGGAGGAGTGGATCGTATTGGGGGAGCCTCCTGAGTCTCATGGTGGTGGGGGGTCGCATCGAGACCCCCTAAAGGAGGGGGTCGCGAAATTTCTGAAAAAGTGCGAACGTCACGGTTGACCCTCCCACCAGCTCGATCTGGAGCGTGCCTTTCAGCAATTCCGTGACTCAACGATCCCAGCATTGACTTATGCAAAGTCCATTCAGAAGACACAATGCACTTAATTGGCCGAAGGACTATAAGAAAGAAAATTCATACTTCCGTCCGAGTCAACATGGAATACTCCACTGCTTTTCAGTTTTCGAATTTACTTGGCACTTTATTTGCAACAACAATTACAAATCACTGGCCCCATAAATACGAGACTTATTCTAGAAGACGACAATACCGTACAGCATGACCTTTACCTATTATTCATCTACAGTACGATAAAGACACACATGTCAATATATGTGCATTTAGGGTTTTGAGGATATCGAACTAAGTATTCGGCATAACCTAGCTAGTCAACCACTCCTCCCCATGTAAGCGTCGACCCGTGCGTTGCGCCAACAATCCTGGAGAGATGAGCGATCATACTTGCGATTGCGTTGCAAGATCGAAAAAGTGTAGGGTCTATACTATGGGGTTGCTGTAAGTTGTGGTGTATGAAAGCTCATTTTAGTCGGTATTATCGACCTTTCTAGACAATTGGGAAAAAAGCATGAATTGTGAACCTGTTAAACTTTAGAGGATAGCCATTTCCATTACAACGAGGTTTCAGTTCCAATCCTCCCCCCCCCCGAAACAGTTTTTTCGATGATGTCAAGCCTTGCTGCCTCATAGACCACTACTTCCTTCAACATATGGGGGTAAATCGAACCTATGGCCCAATGTAGATTAAAAGTCTCATACAAGTCAGCGAACGAGTATGGTATCTTTGTCTTGTTTTCAGGAGAAGTACTAGTTAGATATAACGCCAAATGGAGCTTCCAAAGCAGAATCAAAAAAAAGTCTAGTCAGCAGTCGGCCATCAGTACGACACAGTAATTTTTACAACGCACAAACCCGACTAATTCTATCCCCTCGGCGCGACGACATTTTCCGGACTGAAAGAATTACTATGAAAGAAAAAGGAACCATTTGAAAACAAAACTAATGGCCCATCGCACGGGTGGCTCAATTGCACATACTAGATTTAGAAAGACTTATTATTAGGTCGGTCCACAATTTTTGAGAACCTATGGTGTTTTTCGATTTATTACTTATCTTATTTCTCTGATCTACTTATCCAGCATAGTATACATCATTATTATTAACAACATATCACCAATGCGAGGGTGGGTATTCAGTGCCTCTTGTGGACTTTCATAGAGTTCTGATCGAAGGAAAATTGTAGTCCCGAATCAGTTCTCAACCCAATGACATCATCAAGTTCCTGTTGGTTTCCTATAGTTCCTTCGGATGACCATCTATAATACTCATTGGTGATGTGGACTGGGTGCAGTGTGCTAACAAATCCACGACCTCCGCAGTAGATTTGCTCAAACGAATCGGGAGTTCTGACAGTAAAAACCCAACTCCCTCTGAATTCGAACTTCCTGAGTCGTTGGCGCAATACGGGAGGGCCTTTGCGCTGAAGACCGGCATCAACTAATACCAGTGTCAGTGATGGGAAGAATCGTTGACAGCTTGATGGCAACGCCTTCAACTTGAAAGCAAAGGGAAGACAAAATCTATTTTTCTCTGAGGTCGTTCGAGCCCGCCTTGCTAAGAAAATTCCTAAAAAATTGGAGACTCTCGGGCGGTCAGTTCTTTTAGCTCCGCCTTGTAGCACTAATCCTGCGTCAACGAACGACTATCCGCTCTCCTCTCTCAATCACCTTCTGGAGAAGAAATCTCACTTGAATCACCATAAAGTCAAAATCGACATCCAATATTTCTTCGATCAGAACTCTATGAAATTCTACAAGAGGGACACTGAATACCCACCCTCGCATTGGTTATATGTTGGTAATAATGGTGATGTATACTGTGCTGAATAAATACATCAGAGAAATAAGATAAGTAATTAAGTCGAAAAACACCAAAGGTTCTCAAAAATTATGGAACCGACCTAATAATTCACAGTATGTCAGTCGCACCAGTGACTGCCGACCGCATCCTGCGCAAGAAAGACTGATTCCGGCAGCCTCAAAAGTGTCGTTTAGAAGAAATGTGCTACCATGAGTAAGAAAATCAACTCACCTAGAATGTCCCTTCCTATACATAGTTCGATGAAATGAATAGTTTGACAGTTCGAAAATAAATTAAAATGGGTAATTAACCTGCTTCTTGTCATTTGATTTTGAAATCTCGTTCTAGTGCATTTTTATAACGACTCTAAACAGTTTCGTTTCAGTTTATCGCTCAACGATTTCATCGAGAGGGCACAAAAGCGTACCTCGTTCCCACACGCATTCAAGATCGCCTTGCTGATTTCTGCCTGCTATGTTTTGTTCCACTGGAACGCCTGCGTTTACTTTCTGTTCAGTCTTGCTGAAGGGTTATCAGGTAACTCGATAGTTTGCACTTTTCGATGTTCTGGTTGTTCATTTTGATAATGTATGCTATAATATTAGGGATTTCATAATTAAGAGCCTAGTGATCAACACTGCACTCGGATAGATCAGAGACGCTTGAAACTTACGGCTCGTTATCCGACCTAGAGCAGTAATTTTGCCAAACAAAGTGAATCGCAGGTCAATGAAAGCAAAGCCCCTCTAAAACACCTAAAAAGGGTTTTCTCTCTCTTCGCGGCTGTCGAGTAGTCTACCAAAGTGACCCTGGAACCCAAGAATTCAAGGCGTAATGAGGGGAGGGACAGATTTGGAAACGAGTGAGCATTAGTGATGAGCGAGACTACTTATGCTACAACCGGTAGCGAAATTTCGGTATAGGGAAATTTTAAGCTTTTTGTTAACTTTCAACAAAAGGTAATCTTCTCTGGAGAGAATTCTATTTAGTAGCAAAGAATTCTCCACGTGATGATCACGGATGTGCCTTGAATAAGAACCCCAGAAAACTACTGAAGTAATCCTTGACAGGCAGAATAGAGCTGTTTGCGCATGTCAGTGATGCTCCATTGACACCACTAGAAAGAGCGCGACAAGCACTTAAGGGTCTTACCGATGCTCCTGGGGGTTGCAGGGTCCAACCGTTCCGTTGACAAAGTCAACGGGGTCGTATTGACCGACGCTAGATGGGGGGGTGTTTCCGCATGGATCAACGTTGCAGTTAGAAGCCATTTTGGTGTGTAAGACGCGAAATGGTTTCCAGCTATAGAACACTAAAGTGTGTGATAGTCCGCCACAGCCGTTCATCTGCTGGGACATCGAACGATTAAACTAACTTTATTTTCCGTCATAGGGAAACTACAAAACTCTGATGCTTCGCTTGCAACTATTAGGCACAAACGAGTGCATGGCCACATCGAGCAGAAAGTGTCTAACGTGCAAAATATCCATAAATTACTCGCACTACACAAATAAAAAAAAAAAAAAAAACCCCGCCCCCACACAAACCCCCAAAGAATGTTTTACACAAAAAAAAAAAAAAAAAAAAAAAAAAAAAAAAAAATTCTACCGTAAACCAATGCCTTCAAACTGGACCTAAGTTAATAAAAGAGTGACCTCTTTGGTAGATTGACTGCTAAAGGGCTACAAGAAAAGTTTGGGAACAAAAATATTTGCCTGTCGGCAACTTCTTGAAATGGGTTTAGCATCTGTAATGAAGCACAGAGCTCGTGCGATGTCACGGTATCATAATTCCCGATAAAATTGAGTTTGAAGAGAGTTGTCAGTGTTTAAGTGTTGAAAACCCGTGTTTTCAGGAGAGTAGCGCCGAAAATTCATGCAAAAATAACGGTCCAACGGGGCAATTTTTTGACTCCTCCTCCTTCAACTTTGAGATTTTTTCTGTCTGGGGTGGGAAAAAAAGAGAAAACAAGATTCATTGGAAGCAACCACCTGCTCTCCAACACACGGAGACAAAACTTCAAAATGTTTAATATTAAGAAGCTTATACACAATTTTAAAAAGCAAAAAACCACTCTCAAAAATCGGTCCATTCCATCAAAAACGTCCAACGGGGCGATTTTTTGACTTTTTCAACCTTGAGAGAGTTCAAGTATTCGTTAGGAAAGCTCTAACCTTCTTCTTCAACCCAGGGGGACAAGAATCGCAGAAGGTGGAATTTGAAGAAAGTTATAGCCATTGAAAGCCAAAAAACCTGGTCTTGCAAAAAAAACGGTCCGACGGGGCGATTTTTCGAAAGAAGAGTTTTTGCGGAAGTTTCGAGCACTTTTTAGAAAGGAAACAGTCTGAGCTTTCCAATTTTTCTTACCGCTCCTTACAGTTCTTCTTGGACGAAAGTTACAACCTTTCAAAGGACAAAGTGCGCATTCCTGTAAATTCTTTGTTCTCTACCCCATAACTGACGTAGTTTTGAAGATAAGGCATAACCGTGGTTACCTTCTGAAACAAGCAGTTTTGTAGGTGACAAATCTACTTAGCGTTTTAAGAAATATTGATATTGAACAAAATTACGCTTATTTGAAAGTCAATAGTCTGTTTCTCGCTGCCCGCGCTGCGCCGGGAAGATTGCGCGCGCCAATGCGAACGCAACGCTCCCGTGCTCCAATCGGACACTTCTGCTGTATACTCTCATGCTCTGAGATGACGCCCATGCACTCGTTTATATGGCGCTTCAAATCGAATGAAATTTTTTGGTACGACGGCCTTCTGACAGCAGGGCAAGGGCGTCATTCGACACCAAAGTTTGGAACTAAATTGAGGCAGTTATTTGATATTTGGATTCCTGATAGTTAGAAATCCTGGATAGGGAAACATATAAGCTCGACTGCTAACTGTTGAATCAAGCCAATGTTTTTTAGATTTGTAGCTTCACTTATATTACCTATAGGTAGCTTTTCTAGCAGTGTATGCATACATAATTACTGGGCACGGGGAGGGGTCGTATGATACCTCCGGGAGTGGGGTCGTTAAATTTGGCATCGGTCCAACTGACGGTTACCCCGCTGGGTTGTAGTTTTTGAAGCGTTCAATGGCCGCTTCTCTGTGCCCTCTTGTAGGCCTGCTCTCCGACACTTCCCGCCTTTTCCGCCTGCTCTGAATCTCCGTCGTACCTAGTCTGACCTTACAAGAGGTTAGACCCTTTATTCCTATTTCGATACCTCTTTGCCCGCTTTTTCCAAGAGCTTGTCTTTGGCGCCCCAATATCACCCGATCGAATGCTCGGGATGAAATGTCGATCATGAATTTTTGCATGCTCGCAGCTTTTCCTGCAAAATGACAAACGAAATAACACCACAAAGAAAACTCCCGGCCAGACTCTGAGATATAACCTCTCCTTTTATTCTTTTAAAACAAGGAGAGCCCTGACACTTAAACCCCATGGCGAAAATGGGTTGCACTTTGCGTGTCCCGTACGCACATAGTTCCCATGAATAGAATTTTCATGAGCCTTATCGTGGGGTGAGAGCACAGTATTAATTTGAGAATTTTGGTAAAGTGTCGAAAAAAGGAATTATTTATGTCGGCAAATAAAGTGTTGCCGCGAAAAGCGCATCCATCCCCAGGCAAGATTAGAAGAAAACTCGGAACTAATGGAATATAAGGAACTTCCGAAATAGGAACCAAGGTATAAAGGTTTTGGATTCGCCAGGGTGGGGGGGGGGGGTGGGGGGGGGGGGGGGCGAGGGGGGAGATCCCAACCCTGGTCTCAGTCCTCAATTACTATATCTGAATGCACACAACCACTGTATGTCTTTGCTGTCCAAAACGAATCCACATCTGTTTCTCCTCCATCCACTGTGATATTCCATTTGGGCTCTCCGTGGGCAGATTTTATACCGCCACAATTCCGACAAAGGCTTCAACAGTGCCTTCTATGCCAAAAAACTTCGCCAGAGTAAAATAAATCTAAAAGCATTCAAACCGCACCCTAGAACTTTTATAACATATAATCTTCAATCACCTTTCAAGAAGACGATACTAATGCGTTTGGATTTTCCTACTACAAAGTATTCGATCCACGGATACCCACATGTTCTGTGAGTTCTTCATATCATCGACCTCTTTATCATATTTTTGAGTTATCATTGGATTCTGTTGCAGGTGTTCAACGACCAAAATTGTCAATTCCCAGAAAATTTCACTCTTTGGACATTGATGATTATCGACCGCGATATATGCAGGAAATGTACGAGTTTTGGGCTGGAAAGTAAGTTCGAAAACGTGAACGAGGTTTTCAGTAATCCGACAAATCAACAACATTACTTTTCCACAATGAAGCTGTGGTTTTTCGTTGATGTCAGCTCAGCTCGGGCAAACGTGGAAAATCGAGCATTCTATTGATCACCGTCGAAAAATTCCAGAATTACATACATGTGAACAATTTAATGTCTCTGCTTTATGGTATGGATTTCAGATTTGTAAAATGGGAGATGGGCAACTTCTCGCGTGAATATAGTATGAGCATCTACTGGTCGGCTCTTACCATTACCACTTGCGGTCAACAGGTACATCTTCAACCCGTTGCGGGGCGCTTATTTCCTTGGGGGAGGGGACATTCAAAACAGGGCCAATGGTAGGTAAGACTAGGGCTCTGCCCAGCCCATGGAAGAAACACCAGGAAGGAGGCAAATTGCTCACATGCACCCCCAAGATTCCTTCCCCTTCCTAGAACCTAATTCGAAGGGCAGTGTTCGGCTCACTCACTCGAACTATGTCCCTCCGCCCCAGCCCAAATGTCATGAGCTCCCATAGCTAACCACGTGCTGCACCATGGGTCCGCAGCACGAAAACGTGTCGTTATCTATCAATTGTATGCCATCTTTTTAAGTAAAAAATTTGTCAGTGAGTTTTCCCGAGCACACAAATTATCATGTGTTAGGATACAGATGAAATGTGCACACAAAATGGCGGTCCGCATGGTTAACAAAACGCATAGATTACTGGCGTTCATTGATTAACTTCTAATGACCACTTTTTGACTTCACTCGAATTCCAGTGCGATTTTTAATGCAATCCCGGTATGTGGGGCACCTCAAAAATGATGGGATCGACCAACGCCGAGCAGTTTTTCACGTTCTGCTACCAGGTCAAAATCACTTATAATCTTTTCAGCCGTATCCATCAAGATCATCGCAGAATATGCTCGAGGTGATCGACACTTTGATAGGTGTGCTAGTGTTCGCTACAATTATTGGTGGTGTCGGTAATGTTGTGACGCATATGAATGAAGAAGTTTACGAATTCCGCCAAAAAATGGACGGAATCAAATTCTACATGAAATATCGGTACTTTTTTGAAGTCTTCATTTTAGTGAAACTTTTTTCAGTTTCAAAAGAAAACAGAAAGAACACTTTTCCAGGATGGTGACACCAGCTATTCAGGAAAGAGTTATCTCATGTTTCACCTACATGCATTCTCAGCATCAATTAAACGATGAAAAGGTATGTTTTGGACCCGCTGCACTATCAGGTCAAGGCGCGACGACGCCCACATTCGTCATCGGAGCTTGCCCGACAACTGCTGTGATGCGATCGCTTAACTTGCAGAGTACAAGTGTTGTGAACACGCCAATCCCCATTTGAAACACGAGCTTGAATGAGGGGGAGCGGAAATGGTGTCCACATGCCAAGAACGTACAGTGCACGACGCCCAGTACATACGCGGATTGCCGCCCTGTGACCCAACAATGCGCTCTCCTTTCAGTCTACTTCTTTTTGATTGTTATAGGTCCTAATTCTTTTTGTTACAAGTATCCCGATATTGCCTTGCTTCGGGTCTCGAAGTTAGTGGGATTCTTGGTTTTTCAGCTAACAAATGGACCAATATCGACAGAATGCCTCTGTTATACCACTTGATTCTCCTTTTCTAGATAAGGAAAAAAGGTATTGTCCCCTTCGAACAAATACCCCATTCTGTTGAAGGGCCCTACCCAAGAATATGGAGCCAATGGACTTCATCGCAAACTCTAAGCTTTGCTAACATGGAAACGTCTGAGTAAGTAAAATCAACAGCAGATTCCAATATTGCAGGAGCTGCTAGAAGTGCTGCCACCTAGACTGCAAGGCCAAATTGCCGTTAACCTCCACATGGACACACTCAAGAAAGTGGAACTATTCAAGGTAAGCCACATGGTTCTAGCTGTGCTGGCGGAAACTTCATATACTGAAGTTAAACTCCAGCTACCGTAGTTTCAAATTTTTACTCAAAATTCAAATTTTGAAGCACTCTTTTCGAAGATGAGATTCTACCATTTTTTCTTAGTGTTTTGAAAATTCTGATGGTCGTGATAAGGTGACGAACGTGCTAGAGGCTCTCTAATCTTCCCAATTTCAGCAGTGCAGTGCTGGCTTCCTCTATGAAGTGGTGCTGCGAATCAAGCAGCAAATTTACAGCCCAAATGACTACCTTTTTAGGGCCGGTGAACGCGCGAAGGTGAGATCAACCTTCAGATATTTCATTTTTCTAATTGTACAGTATATTTCTAATGCGGAATCGAGAGATACTTAATTTATCTAGGAGATGTTCATAGTCAAACGTGGAACACTGCGTGTAATTGACGAAGAGAATGGAACACCTGCTATGGTGAGCTTTTAATAGAAACAAGAATAAAAAAACAAAAAGATCTCTATTCTTTTCTTAATTGTCCCTAGTTCCATGGATGCGAATGCGCCGGTGACTGCGCCTCGCACTACTTTATGCTCTTTTGCCTTTGGGTTATTCTCTCTAGGCACTTCCTTAGCCTTCTTCTTCTTCTTCTCCCTAGCGTTAGTCCCGCGCAGTCGCAGGGTCCGCTGTCTTTGTCAGTCGTCGCCACTTTGCTCTGTCCAGGGCATCTTCTGCTGTGGCCGTGACTTCACACTTAGGTCCTTCTTGATCACGTCTCTCCACCTCTTCTTTGGGGCTCCTCGCGGTCG